TATTTACCAAGGACATTGCTGCTTATCTGTCTACGTATAAAATGTATATATCACATTTTATGTATTGCTAGCACAAATTATAACTAAAGATTTTGTTTAATAAAAGAGAACTCATTTAGGGCACCATTATTGCATTGAAGTATAGAGTTTATTTAATAGAAGTAGAAAGTCAGAAAGTCCTTGAGTTTATTTGAAGAGAAATATATGTTTTGAAATTTATAATAATATATTTAAAATATTTGAAATAAATTTATTTTTAAATCTAATCTAAAGAAATCTATTTCGAATATTACAGCATGTAATAGTGAAGAAATTTAATTATGAAAATTAATTTTTAATTAAGGAAATTCCTTGACTAAGCTTGTAGCTATTGTTGAATATTTAATTAAAAATATTTTTGTAATTAATTTTAAAACAAGCAATGGTTTTGTTTTATCCTTTTCAGTAATCTATTTTTCTATAAAAGAAGACTGTAAGTTAAATATCTTATAATTATTATCAAATTAGAAAATGAAAATTTATTTTAATAAATAAATAATTTTAAAATCGAAATAACATGCATTTCGTATTTCTTTGAATAAACTTGTATAAGTGCAATATGTAACGATATAGGGATACATCAAATAAAACATTATTGGAGAACTTCAAAAAATAATCAAAACATAAAATATGCTTGTACTATGTATTTTGCATTAATATGAAATGTTTTGCATTCCACCACTAATGAAAAATTTAGCTCCACTAATTAGCTAAAAATAGTTCATTATGTTATTATATATTATGCTATATATGGCTAAATACAATAATCTCCCCTATAATGCGGTACCCATTTAACGCCTTTTCATTATATTTCAATCCTTCGTATAACATTGGCATTCCCCCATATAACGCGGGGACTTGTACCCCATTCATAATTAGCTTCGCAAACCTTTGCACGTTTGTATACGAGATGTACGGGAATTAGGGGTATTCCCGTGTTTCCCTATAACGCAAAACGAATCTGCCGCGTTATAGAGGGGATATATTTATTAGTGAAATTTTACAACTGATCCAACACGACCAACGCCCAAGCTATCATGAGATAGTTATCAACAGATAACTAAAAATCATTCAAATGAGATTTTGGAATTACTTAATAAAAGCCGATTAGGCAAAGACACTTGGTGTTCGGCTACCACATGAATTAAGGTGGATTTGATTAGTCAAATTAACTTCCGTGAACCCCTGCTAAAACGCTAGGAAATCGCGATGAAAAATTGATTAAATATGACAATATGCAATGCAAGTGATTTAGTTAATAACCCATAACCCTCCACAAACGACTTCAAAGCCTGAATTCACAACATACAAGATTATGTTGAATGTTTAACAAGATTGAAAAAAATTGTTTAATTCAAACTGCTCCAGCCCGACCTAGTACAGTTATAAATTCGGTAATGTTTAGACTGCTTGAATGAAAGCTAACAGAACTAGCCAACAGAAAAACTGTCGAACCAGACACATCTTTGATGACTCGGAACTAATTAAAGAAGCTTGGTTTGAAATTTTAGAAGCATTCCAACGCTCGCTCTTCTCTCTTCCTCTCTCTCTTTATCTCTCTGCCTCTCCCTTTCTCTCTCTCCCTCCCTCTTTCTTTTTCTCTATTTCTCCCTCTTTATTTTTCTCTCTCTCTTTCCCTCTCTCTCTCCTTCTCTCCTTCCCTCTCTCTCTCCTTTTCTCATTCTCTCTTTCTCTCACTCTGTCTCTCACTCTACCACTCTCCCTAGCTCAAAGAGCCAGTCAAGCTTTTCGCTGATAAGCCACTTAAGTTCTACACCAATGAAATTATTAAGCTCCCCGAAAAATGGCAAAAAGCCATAAATAATAATGGACAAGAATTTGTTAATTGAATCTTATCTTCAATTAAGAAAATTTTTGTTCACAAATGTATCAAAAAACCACGAATCCTTACCATATTACCAATATTTGATCCTTTTATTCAAGTCATCTCTTCATTTTAGTTTAGATTTGTTAACACTGGCTAGTATTTAATAGAACACATGTACATTACTCATACCCGTTAGAGAGGTAGTTATAATATGCCCAATATTTTATCCTCTAACTAGTGACATTCAATCCCCCCAAATATTTCAATTGCCTTAAGCACTTGGCTTTGCATGGAACATGTCCTGAACCTAACTTTCTTTACTTTCGGATATGTTGAACCGTGAATATGCCAATTATTATTTTGAAACTCTCCAAATGAATAAATCAGATATATGAAAGTTATTTTGAATTCTTGCTATGATTATTATATGATTATATGATAACTTTAATCAAGTCCCATAAAGCAACAGTTCCTATTGACGATATTGTTTACAGTACTATCACAATAACATTTACAACCAGTTTTCAAGTTTTTAAAGCAGTCAACAATACTGCAAATGAAATCGCTTTATCCGGTATCCTTAAAGCATCCTTTGCGCAAATATAACAGAGCAAATGATTATAATTGTTATTTTTTCTTTATTTGTGTGTTTGCTATTCCTATTGTATCCATTTGTTATACGGAATAGACAATATATATTCACTTACAAACACATACCGTACACCCCTTTAGCAAAATAAATAAGCAAAACTGCAAATACATATGTCAGAGACACAGTTAAATTGTCATTGAGGCATTTTATATGTGCTTTCTGTTGGAACATTTTTCCTTGGTATATATTTGCCATAATATATCCTTGTATCTTGCAATGTTTAGCACACATATAAAATATTTATTTTTCTACAAATGAGTGCAATTTGCTGTTCCATTGTTTGGTCAGTAATTATGCAAAAGGTGATTGGACGAGAGACTGGTCATAAACCAGACGGAGCTGAAGGAAGAGTAACACTTCAAAGTCGAGAAAGTGACTGCATACCAAATGACACTCGAAATTTATATTAGCACAGCGCTCTGGGGTAGTAAAATAAATTTTATAGATAAAAAGTCAATCTTCTTTATTAATTATTTACTTTTTACTCTTGCTTAAGCCATATAATAATAAAAATTGGCATAAATAAAACAATAGAATCACATAAATCCGCAAACTTACAAACTCAGTTTGGGAGTAAATTAGGATTTGAATGCATTTTTAATGCAGGCAAAAAGCTTTTAGCTAATTTTTTGTATACAAAATGCACAAATAAATGCACATAAATATCCTGCATCCTGATACGTAAATCTAAATATGTTCGGGCATGTGTGAGATTTTTGGTTGTGTATTCTGTTTTATTTTACAAATTAAAATTCAAGACACATTCACTATTATGTTTCATGTTTTATTGTTGCTTATGTTATGCATTGGCACTAAGTGAAAAATAAAATTGTACGTTTCAGTTTACAAAATGGAATTTTGTAGTTTGTAGTTTATACTTTTAGCTTCAATGATGCAATATAAAGTGCAACAGTAATGCAACAAGAATAGCACCAGCAACAACAAAAACAACAACAACAATGCTAACAACAACTATATACTCAGAAGACAACATCACAACAAACCAATTGCCTTAAGCAACAACACATCACAACTCAACTCCAAAGGCTACTGCCTGCCTGCTATGACCGAAAGGATATTTTCTAGTCAGTCATGTTGTTCCACACAAGCATTGTTGTTGTCCTTTTTGCTGTTGCTGTTGCTGCTGCTACTGCTTCTTCTAGTGCTGACTTCATCTAATAAGGCAGGCACTGACTTTAGCTACTTGCTGATAACAGTCACGTATGTTTCTGGAAATTCATTTCGAACTTCATATGCGAGTGTTGCTGGTACCTGTGTTTCTGGACAGGATAAACACACTCTTATTTACTTGGTTTTCTGCAAGAACTGCAACAAATATAAATAAATTTAAGCTATTTCATATTAAAAATCAATTTTATTTCAATACTGATTGAAGGAGAAATAATTTCAAACTAATTCAATTTTATTTCTTCAAGCAAAAGCTGTAATAATATTTTTCAAAGTGAATTACGTGTAGCATATATGTATTTTCGTATAGATACAATACATATGTTTTAACAGTATATATGAAACAAGAGTTTTTTTTCATTTTTAAAAAACTTACAAATATTTTTCTTATATTTCAGATACTGCGTGATATACGGCAAGGACTTTTACAAATGAGTCGTGAAGGAAGAATAGGTAAGTTCTATACTTAAATTATTGGTTAGAATAATTTTCAGATCCACTTTAGTACAAAATACATATTAGACAAATAAGTTAGAAACTATTTAATGCACTAAAGATTGATATATGAGTTCAAGATCTTTTTTTGAGATACGCCACGCCTTAGCAAACCTTCAAATATTTTTTATATACACTAATTTAGATAAGGCTTAAAATTCCTACCAGGAATATTTTTTTTTATAATGGTAATTAACCCCGAAACACCACCCTTGAAGTGTTCATATTACCTTCAGAAACAGAAAAACGTCACACTGGGTTTTGTTAGGTGGATTTGATACTTGCTTGAACACTTTCATTAAATTATTTGCTAAGAATCTTCACTACATTTGATTTGTGCAATCGCGGAGCACTCTAAAGTATAACTGCAAAGACCTTACATCTAAATACTTCGAATAAAATAACACGTTTAAATTTTGCATGTTAACACATTGTAATGTTAGACTGTATCTTTCCATCTCGTTTTTCAAATTGTAAATGTGGTATATTTTTTCCAATAAACATTCCTTTAATTGAGCTTTGATCGACTACTAAGTTATGTTCTTTCAAGAGAGATATTCTGCAAAAAGACACGAGGTAGATGTATCTTTATTAATATTTCTTCGATCTTAGTATATACAATACCACAAAATCAACTCCATGATTCATAGTGATATTTACGAAATCTAGTTTAAAAATGCGTTAACAATATGAAATAAAACAGCTAAGCATATTAAAAAACGGAAAACTCATAATCATAAAGAAAATCTTAATATTAAAAGTAAATACAAGACACTGAATTAAAGACACAACGTATTATATATACTATAATATAAATAAAGTGAAGAAGAATTATAAATATAGTATATTATTTTGTAATTACTAAAAGTAAGGAATACACATTCTGTGTAAATTGTATTATAGCCGTATTTCCGAAGAAAAATTTGGTTTAAAAAAATTGTACACCTATGAGTAGGCTTTGTTTGGAAGACTGAACTCTTTATTTATATATAAAAAATTAAAGTTTTATTTAAGCATAAAAATACTTAAAAACTCTTCTCGACTTCGTTATTTGAAAAATATTTTATAATATAAAATTTCGGCTCTCTTAAAAAATATACTGACTGTAATAAAAACTAACGAAACAAAAAAATATTTTTATAAAATATTAAAAGTAATAATAAGTAAAATAAAAGTATTCAAGGAGAAAAAAAAGCATAAATATTTCAAACTTTTTTTTACTAATTTAAAACAACTTTTTTTTTCTCAAATTTCATGGCACAAAATTTTCTTTGCTTGAAGTTGTGTTGTGCCTTTTGTGAATTGTTTGTACTCTTTTCGGTTGCATTGCAAATGCTACTACCGTAAAATGCAGCACTGCGCTGTCGTCTGCAACTACGTTAACTCTCATGCATAAGTGAGCAGAAAATGTTATGTCCGCCTTTTAAAAAGTACTCCCGTAGAATCACACATGCAAATCTACTCACACAACACACACACAACTGAAATTACTTACTCATATTCGTATGCATGCTAATGTTTCACAAAAGTCGACTAGCAAAATTTTTTATTGTTAAATTTTGTATCCTTTACTGCTGTTGTTAGTGCTGCTGTGCAATTGCAGTTGCAAAAAAAAAGGATAAAAGTTTTCGTGCAACAGCGCGTAAAACAATATTGCAAATGTACAATTTTTGTTGCATATTTTTCGGCATTTTGACATTTAACTCAACCACTTCACTTCACTCCTCTCGACAAGCTTTTGTAATCATATGTTGATTGTCAGGAATTCATAAAAATTGCAGAGAATTTATCCTTTGTTAAAAGTTTAAATGTTGCATTTGTTTTGTTTTGTTTTGCTTTTCTTTCCTTTTTTGTTTTTTGTTTTTTTGTACTGTAATTATTTCAGTTGAAAAATTTAGGAATTAAATCTACTATTTTGAATTAATTACCGTAAAATCTTTCTTAACCGATTATTAGAATAACAATCACATTAGGTGAATATAAAGAGAATAAAAATTAATTATCATAAGTGTTTAGAATATTAGTTAAAAAAATTTACACAACCATCCTTCCGTGTCAATGCCCATTTCTAGCTAGGAGAAGATCTAAAATCTTCAGACCTTTTTTCTTACTGGCCTGATCGAGCTGTATGCTTGTAAAGTAAGAAACTAAGATAAATTCACAAAGCTGTTAGGTTGGTACGCCTTTACCTAATGAGAAAGTCGTTGCCTTTCGGCGTTGGTCGTACACTAACCTTCTAATCTATGTATGAAGCAACAATGGTACTACAGTGGTACTACAAACTGCCTTTATTTGAACTCATTCGATTTTCTAGGAAACAACAACGCCACTCCAACTTAACCCAACTTTTCCCAACCTATTTATTGAGCTATGATATCCATGAAAGATACTTCTTAATAATAATATTCAAGTGCTTGTAAATTTGTTTTAAATTTCTTAAGCTTACATTTTAGAACTACAACTTCATTTAGTCCTATATTGTTATTTTAGTGTTCCTACACATTAACCTCCAAATATTGTATAGTATTTAAATTTTTGTAAGTACTTTTATCTTTCCATCAATTTCTAATTTTAAACTTTTTTCTACCTTATTCATTTGTTCTAAAGGACTTTATAATTTTTATATAAAACTATGAGATTGTATGTTAATATATGCGAATAGTTAAATAATTTTTTAAAATCAATTTCTGTATTTCTAGATGATACATATATGTATGATGATGCGGTGCGAGGTCCTCACTACGCTATTGGTGGCATACATCATCAAGGACATTGGTATGACGAACCACCATATGAAAGTGATCCAGATGACTTCTTAATGTCAGGTTTAAACTGTGGTCCAGCGGCTACAATACAGGTATATTAAGTTTATATATGTTATTTTAATAGTTTATGGATTAGTCGAATAAAAGTTTTATATATATTATTATAGTTATAAGTTGAATAAACAGAATATTATGCATAATATATTTATATATATATATATATATATATATATATAAATATGTTAAATTTAAAGTTCATATCTAAAAGGATTATATTTTTAAATATTTAGTCATTATTGCTCACAAATTATGATTTACTTATTTCTTTAAGACTACGATCGGCAGTAATAAATACCTACTAGCATGGCAAAGCTGTATTTTATTATATGAATAATTATGTTAATTAGACTAGTAGAATTCTAATATATGCTACGATCGAAGTAGCAAAACTGGTGTCAATGTTAGTAATCTACAAAGTATAATATTACTTTTAACCAGTAAAAAGGAGCTATAGAAAAGGAAAATGAAACACTTTTATAAACATTTTCAGTGTTGGCAAAACTAACAAATTCCATATAGAAAGCCTACGAACTAATGAGCCGTCGGATATCCCAAAAGTAGATCTTCCAAATGTAATCGCTTTCATCAGCCTTTAAAGTCAGTTTTAAAACTTACCATTTTATGCCTAACTGTGTGATAACTAAACCACTGCTATTCTCTACTAGGCCAAAAGAAAAAGCTGAACTAGGAGCATAAAAGGTGCATAGGAGCACAGAAAAAGGAAAATTAGAAGATAATAGAAAAATAAAAGGAAAATATAAGAATTAGAAAATACAAATAAATCTTAACATAGACGAATTTACCATAACAGCGACAAACGATTTTTGAGCGTTAACTGTAAGGTTACTAATATTTTATAGATTAGACTAGATGGATTTCGAACGAATAACCTTTCAAATTTTAACATATCTGCAGTTCATTTACTTACTAAAGTATAGTACGGACTATTGCACTATTTGCTATTGATTTGACGGTGCCATATTTTAACAAGTAGATTGGGCAGAAGTTAAAAAAATAGAATCTATTAATTATTTTCTAAATTTTTGCTGAGAAGTATTTACCAAGCGACTTTAATGTCTATAAAATCATTCATCCACTAACCTAGCAGAGATAACGAAACTGGATTTATTGAATCTTCTTAAGTTTATCTCTTAAGCACCACATTGTTCAGCCAGAGTAATACACAGATTTAACGAGGGTTAGTGGACCTCACCTTTCAGACTATCTGGAGGGAAACACAATGTGCAATAGATTCTCCGATTGGTTGTATTGATTAGCATTTGTTCAATCTTTTTAGTTTGGTCTCCTTTACACCACATGGTTCAACAAGGATAATATACGGAGTTAGCGATGGTTGGTGGACCTCATCTTTCAGACTAGCTGGAGAGAATCACAATGTGCAGTAGATATCTCCGATTGGTTATATTGATTCAGCATGCACCCTTCTCAACTTAACCTAATCAACTATTAATTTATGACAAATTGCTTTTACCTTTAGTACATAAAGATGAATAAGAAAAATTGATTTGAAAAAGTTGACATATTTGGAAAGAAGGTTTGGTTCAGGTTTACTGATGCTGCAATGTGATTCATACCGATAATTGTACTAAACTTCAGTTATTTACTAGTTTCTAGCAACCTTCACACTAACAAATATTGAACCTCAGTAGCACATTTGTCAAATTAATTGCGAAAATGTGAGCATTAAGTCTCTTTTTGATATCATCACAGACTGATAGCCAAGATTGCAAAACCGATTTTTTTCTTTGTTGCATGGAATAAATTTATAAGATTTTTATGGTATCTGAGATATCTCTTTCATTACATTATAAATGTCTTCACTAATCTAAAATACACTTTATTCAAATGAGTATGAAGTGTGTAAAAATCACAGCTCGTAGAGCTCTAAAATTCAAGTGCACGCTGAGACATACTTCAAAGCTTGTAAGAGTTTTCTTGAATTTAAAGATTTTGCACCAGAAGTAAGTGATTTATGCACTTGCAAGTGGCTTTCAATACAAAGAATATTCAGATTGAAAATAGTTTTGTAAGGAATAGTAAATAAAGTCAATTTTTTTAACATGCAGTAGTTTGACTTCTGAATTTCGATAGGTTTTTTTTTATCTCAAACGAGTCGAGCAATTGAAATCAATGAAGCAATCTCTCGCAATAGAGACTCAATGCACTAATAAAAATCTCGTATCTCCACACACCCACAAAATGTATATAGTGTAGTGAGTACTTGAATTTATCAATGGCGGTCTACTTATATTATTTTACAGGAAGCTGAGATATTTTCAATTTTTAAACTATATTCTCTTATCCTTTTTATGGTGCGGATTCTTCTGTCTTCTAAGCACTTTGCAAATAGACAAAATCGCTGTTTGAATTTATGCGGCACATTCGTCTTTGTTATTTTCCATGATTATCGCTGCGACTGCGTTGACGCTTGTCAATTTTACTTGCTTTATATCTTCCGCAACTTAAGAATCTTCCAGTTATCTTACAATACAGATATATATACATATCTATATTGTATGTAGAGAGTCTTGTAGTATAAAGTTTTTGTAGTTGCAGTTGTTTTTTTTTGCCTAACTAAGCTGTTTGGCTGCTGCTTAAGTTCCTTGGTGCTTGTGCGACTTAAGTTGCATTTTTCGTTTATTTACTGATGAAGTTGCTCCATGTTTTGGTTCCTTGCCTGTTGGAATGCGGCACGCAAGTTGCTCATTTCGTTGTCTTTGCTGCATTCACATAGCGAAAGTTTATACTTTTACTCACTGGGAGTTTTTATCCTTTTCAATTTTTAACAATTTTTCTTCTTCGTTTTTGCTTAGCAAACATTTTATTAAATTATTCGCTAAATTATTTTTTGTTGTGGATTGATTTTGAATTTGTTTTCCATTTCAGTTTTGAATTTGTTGCAATCATTTTTCAATCTACAAGTACATTTTTATAGATTTTTATTAAATGTTTATTGACAAGTGAAATTGCATAATTTTTTATGAATTTTTTATCGTTGGGTTTGCATAGAAGTTTGCCTCTTTTTGCGACTAACTTTGGGAATAACTTCGATTTTACATAATTTTTGAAAAGTCTTCCTTATTTATCTTTTTGCTTCGCGTTTGGCTCTTAAGTACTTTGCAAACTTGTAGATATTTGTGGCTTTTGATTTGGGTTGATTTTGTGGGTTTTATCCATTGGTTTTCTACTTCCAACTGAAATTCAATAAAATGGGTTTTACTTTGATGTCAAATTTGCTAAAATTTGTGGCTTTTGTGTGCATGTACTCTCCTATTTTGCATGTTCATGAAGGAATTCCGGAATATTAGGTTGAAAAAATTCTAAATCCTTTGCTATTAGAATTGTGACAAATTTATAATTTATTGCATTTGTTTGGTTTTATATGTAAATATAGTTTAGAATATGCTCAATGCTAAGCTGTTGCAGTTTTTATTAATTTAAATAAACTTAAAATGAAATTATTATATTTGCAATGGGACCGCATAACCTTATTTATTCAATTATATTTGATTTGAAATCAATGTGATTTAAATTAAATTTAATTTCAGTTCACAAAATTTTCTTAGAAAGAGCAATATTTACTACAGTTATAACTAAGAATTTAATAAAGTAATTCATATTTGACAGGGCAAGAGTTCAACCCTTGGTATCTGCAGTCTCAAAAAATTAGAGAATTATTTCCAAGACCACTGATGATGGGTATTTCGCAATATTCGAAAAAGCTAAATGGTCAAACAAAAATTCAATTTTTTAAAATAATATATAAAAAATAAGGTTTTTTGTTGTTGGAATTCACTTCTTCTCGATAAAAACCTCATTATGAAATATACAGTTTCTATTAAATGTAATAGTCACTTCCGTCTTTAAAATGACATTAAATTACAACTTATAAAGTAATTTTTAAATTTATAAAAATTAATAATTTAATAAAAAATTTATTAATTTATTTAAATATAATAATTATATCTAGTTAATATAAACAATAGTTTATATTAAAAAAATAGTTTTATTTCACATAACTGACGTTAAAAATCAATTTAATATAACCTAATATAATATTATGATAATATGATATTAAAAATCTCACTGAACCAAATTCTTCTTCCAAAAATTGTCTGAGAAGAACAGCAAATACGCACTGAAGATAGAATTCATAGACAATAATTGGAGTGATATGTGGTCACTCTCTTTTGAACAAGCATAAACTGTGGTTAAAACCATCAAAAACATCCGATTATAGACTATGTATTTATGAAAGAAACATATAAATATCCCACATATCTTCAGAGAATTCCCATACTTTATACTCTATAGTAGTCTATAGTACAATTATATAGAATTCCAAAAATAATTGATCCATGAATCGGTATGGTCAAATATCGACATAGAAAGGATTAAGACTTATATGGATAGAACTGAAATCTTTCAGTGACTTTAAAACGGGCAAGCTACAGCGGACGCACAGTCATGAACACTTAATAGTCGAGTTCGTATAACAACTAGGACGAGGCTCCAATAAATCATTCTCTGCAGTTGTGTATCATAATGTATATCTTTATGCTTAATATTGTTATATCTTCTTTCTTTCAACGACTACTTTTCTTCCTTATACAAATATACGAATTATATATTCGAACAATATATTGCCTATTAATTTCTGATTTTCTGATAACAAAAAAAGAGATTTATATTTCAACTATATTTCGCGTTGAGAACACCTCACCATTAAGAAAAGCATTTTTTATAGTAGCTATAGAGAGCTGTCTAGTAGACATTATACAGAAATCGGCAGACAAAGTTCAAAAATTATTGCTCAAAAATTGTACACCATTGCAAATATATATAGCACGATTTAAAATATTACTGGAAGGCAGACAACTTTCATTATTAACATTTTGCTTAAAAAACTAAGAATTGATCGTCTAGTGATTACAGAGTACAATGTAATATACTTATTTTAAAATTTATTCTACCTGAAATATTGTTGTCATATAAGTTAACATTAAGTCTAGGGTACAATACAATGTCCAAAAAATTTATGCTTTTTTGGGCATCTATGAGATTTGATTTCTAATAAATATTGAATTTCCTGAAATGGAAGTAATTTAAAAGTACAAATTTAAATTTTACAGTATTGACATACTTTTAATGAGAATATTTTAATTAATTGTCATTTTCATAATAAATATAATAACTCATTTAATAATTAATATAAGATAACACAAATTTTTTATTCTCAGTAAATATTCGAACTTGATTTTAGTAAATATTTACTTACAATGATTACTTACAATCATTTGATAATTTTTAAATAAGTACTTGTTTCAAGAAAATATTTATTTTAATTAATTGTCATAGTGGAATAAATCACTATGTAAATAATACATAATATAAAATACTAAAAAACACAACAATTCTTTCTTGTTTATTTAACTTAAGTAAATATTTACTTAAAATACTCAACTAATTGTGCAAAGGTTCGGAAAAAGCATTTAGTTTAATTAATTATCTGATTTATATTAAATTGGGTAATATAAACTTATTATGTAGGGAAGATAATTAGCAGCCGTATTTTCCTTTTTTAGATATTCAGAGTATAAAATTTATAATTATGCAGTTACGTCTGTTCTTCAACTCTCATGATTTGTTAATGATAATGGCCTGTTATGATTTTATATAATCTCTGTGGGATCCCTAACTAAAATACGTTCGTTGAACAATTTTATCAATTTTTATCATATAAATATTAAATAATTAAATCAACATCAAGATCTCATCAATAACATTGATAAGTGCCTTGTAAATTACAAAGTATATTTTGCAAAAAAAGATGTAGTTAACAGCACCAAAAAAAGGGCCAAAAAATGTGGAAAAAGCAAAGCCAAAATATGCTTAGATATATCTGGGAATAAATCTGCATTAACATTTTCAACGTTGAAATATTGTAATCTTGAAGTTGAGCAATGCCATGTAAATTTTATAATTTTGTATGCAAAGAAATTGCAGCTAACAGCACCAACCGCGTGCCTCAAAAATGGAAAAAAAATCGCTAAAAGATGCGTACATATTTATAGAGAGAACCCATTTATAAACATATTCAACGTTAAAAATATTACATATTGTTAAATAATAACAGGAACAGAACTGAGTTTTCATTATTTTCTTCATTAGGGCTATTTGCTACTTAGTTATCCGATACAGAGAATGGTTTAAGTAAATTATTCACAATTCTACTGTCTAGTATTCATAATAACGGTTTTAAGATATTGTGTTATCTACCATTTTATTGAAAAAAAAAAACTGTCTTGTCATTTTTATATTTAATTTAATAACTATGTTTTGCTATACTGATTTAGAGTATTCTTATCTAATTATTCCACTTAAAATTTCGGGGACTCTTAATTTTTTATAATCGTTAACCTTTTCTATTAAGTCTTTACGAATTCATAATTTATTAAATTATGTGTTTATTTTTAATGTTTAAAAAATTGTATATGTACTTATATAACGATAACATTATACTAGCAAACTAACCTAGTTTTGTATATCTCCTGCTATTATGGTAGATATTCAAGTCTTCTACTTATATGCATTAAATAAAGAGTGAAAAGAAATTTATATAGAAATTTAAACGAGTGTTCTAAGCTTCCAATGTTTCTGTTAAATATATATTTTCCACTATTTTTATTTATTTAAATATATTACTGTTAATATAATATATATAATGTTTTAAAAGATATGTATTTCTTTTAATTAAAAATATTTTACTGTGTTCAAGAGAGACCATTTATTATTTTTATACATATTATTTTATATTAATATTATGTTAAATTTTATTTTATACAAATTATTTTAAAATATATACATTTATTTAAAACAATGATGGATGTTATTTTTTTATTATAATTGGATATATTTTTCCAAATTTAAAAGATTAATCATATTTTGTAAAATATGGTTATGCACTATATATAGCGCAATAAATTGTCTTCTCAAATAAAGAATTGAAATAGTCGTAAATTTTATTCACATTGGTTGGAAACTGTGTTAAGCACGTATTTCAAAAATATAATTTTTTTTTGTCCTCTTCAAATAGTCACGCTCAACTTATTTCAGAATCTAAATGATCGATTTCACAACAATTACATACACTACTCTACTCCCTTTCATTTCATGAGAAAAAATATATTTTTTAATATTAAATTGCGACAATTCTATCATCACTTGTCAATTTTTTTCATTTTTTTTTTAAATTTAATTGATGTAAAAATTTTACTGTTCGGAACACAACCAACAGAGTATCATATCGAACTAAAAAATATTTTAAAAAAAATATAATTAAATTAAAATAGAAATAAATTTTACTTCCGTGCCTTTCAATAGTCAGAAATATTCGAATAAATTGTAAATATTGCAAACAAAAAAAGAGTGAACTGACAAAGCAAATATTAAGACAAAAAAAGTGCTTTTATTTATTCAAAAGTGCTCTAGTTTCAGTAAAATTAAGCCATCAAACTCAGTGTACGAAGTTACAAACTTTTCAACTATTTTGATTAATTAAAATAATTCTTGAAATATTTCAAAACTGTTTGAAATATAAAATAAAATAGATGCAAGTTGAAAGTTCGTTTTATTAAAGCCAACATTTCAATTATTTTGTGCTTTTTGTATACATTTGTATCTTTTGTGGAGCCTTAAAGTTGGAATAGAAACAATTTTTAAGCTTTAATTTTTGACTGTAAGAGATACATCGAGATTTGAATTTATGTTAACCACAGCTACAGAAAAACCAAAACAAACAGCAAACTTTTTCAAACTTTTTTAATTTTTCATAAATTTAAAATATTTCATTTTCTCCATTTACATTTACCATTTCCTTTTCTAATTTGCAGGGCGGCCGTGTACGTTTCACTTCAAATCGCGAAAGTACGGGCGTAATTTCATTAAGATCAGCTGGAGATATTTCACTACCACAACGTGGACCACCAAGACGCGGTCTTATCGTACCACAGCAGCCACCAAATCCACCGACAATAATACCATTAACGCATGCCAGGTAAGTTGTGCCCTCAGGAGATATAAAATTTTCCATCTTACCAGAAAAAAAAAATATAAGTACTCACCAGTCTTACACTGCCAATGCCTCACTTCTATATACCTATATATATATATTTTGTGTGATGTATTTTGTTACCTTTTATTTATTATGTTTATATGTATTTTTTGTATATTGTTGTTTTGTTGGTGACCTATTAATAATAAATACAAAACAACAACAACAACAACGGGAGAGAAAAAGAGCAGTAAACACAAAATTTTGCAAAAATAAAGTAAACACAAAACGTGTTAAATGAAACACCTTCATCTTTGCATTATCCTTTGGCAGGATATTATGCTAACCGCAATGCTACTAAATATATAAACTTCTACGGAACACACACAAATGGCACAGATACAAATAGTCGTCACCTATGCCCACTTTCGTAAGTTACTCCAGTATTGGATTTATTGCGAACGTATAAATATTTGCCGTAATTTGTTTAGCATGCCACTAAGGTTGTGGCTTTTTGTTATAATAAGTAGGAAGTAAACAGGGTGTGGCGATGATTGCTCGGATAACTCGTAAAATAAATAAATATATATATAAATATATAAGTATGACTTTACACAGCAAAAGTATCCCTCTTTTATTCTTGCATACTTTTCTGCAGTTACTTAATTACTACATCAGTCACACGGTGCGTATGAGTGTTGATAATTTTGGTGGTGTTAGAATTTTTGGGTTAAGTAAATCTAATGTTGACTCTGCTAAGCACTTGTAATTGCGTTAAGCTTTTAATCCTTGATACTTGGCAAAGTTTAATAATGAACAATTTATTCACTAAACGTATTGAAATAAAATTGGCGTGTATGTGAAGAGATATTTATGTATATAGTGAAATCTTGATTAAACTCTGCATCTCTCTTAACGGTGTAATGCTTCTAGTCTCTAGTTTTTATTATTCTTTAAGAGATTCTTCGTTTTTGATTGTTGCCAAGGTATACTCATATACTCATCTATACTCATAGTATTAAAATAACGGATACATGATAGCAATGTACGAAGACATGATAGGTATAAATAAAGAGCAAGATCAAAAATCTATACATCTGAGTAAATGAGATACAGCGTTCGCTCTGTGAGACAATATGAAAGATATCACGCATAGCACAGGGTAAATGTACTGCAATTTACTAACTGAAAATAATAAGAACAAAAAGTGTATTTATGTCTCTATTTATGATTAAAAGCTTTAAGCTATCCGATTAGTTAAATATAAAATTTGCATTTATGATCCTTTCATATATGGAAAAATTACATAAAAATCTTTCCATTTGATAGTATTCAGTTCAGAGAGGAACAAATGTTCTTAATTTATAATAATATTCATCTCAAGCATATTGTTCTTATCTAGATATTAGAGATAATATATATGTTATATTAATATCTATATATTTAAACACAAAATATATTAATATTAAAAGCCTAATGTATTGATCAATGGGACCTTATTAAAAGCCATTATATATAGCTCGGCTATTTGGTCCATTATAAAGTATGAAAAGAGAGGGTCTCACTTTATTCTTATATTGCGTCTGTTGCATCGTATTATTTTTCCATTTTTTTATCCTATTATTTTTCCCATTTTGTTTTTCTTGTTATTGTTTACATATAGTACAATAATTAAATAATAATACAAGCACTGTTAAATCAAATGTTTATATTTAATTTATATTCCTATATTGAAACTAAAATATTAACTAAGTTGAAAGCTAGGTCAAATATAATAATTTTATCATATTTAGTTTAATTTCAATTGCTTTTTCGTGGTTTGTATTTGCAAAACACAAAACCGCGTTAGCAAAAACACTTGAGATTTTATTTAATATATACAATTATTTGCCATTAAATTTACAAACAATAAAAGCAATAAAATTTAATTTAATAGTATTAATATAGATTGTAATATTCATTCTCACTAAAAATTTTATAATAATTTAATAGTTACATATATAAAATCTATCTGTTATAGTCTAATACTTATGCATTTATAAATTTAATCGATTTAAATTTTATAAACAAATTGGTATTAATATTTAAACTAACAAAAAAATTTAAAGAATATTTCCACAATTGGCTCATAGTACATCAGAGAAACCTATCAAATAGAAATATCAAGAAATAATTTAAGATAAATTAAATTCTTTTTAACAAATCGCTGTTATTTAAAAAAAATTTTTACCTAATAATTTTCTCACTGACCCATTTCAATTGTTTCTCATGACATGACCAAGTCAACGATGTCGCTGGATGTTGTTTTGCCGAATTATATCAATGTCATGATAAAGCGAATATATAGCTCATGGTTTATTTGGATGCGATAATCGTCATCAACTTATAAAGAATCAAAGATCTTACAAAGAACTGTTGTCTCGTAAACTCGACACTACTTTATCATTCTGTGATAGAATACATGCTTTTGAACCATGCAAAAATTCATGTCGTGAATCGTAAGTTTTGTTTTTCAAGAGAAGCCTCTACAACCCAATTTTCCATTGAACCTTTAGTAGGACAGTGTTGATTCTTCATCTAATTTCTACGCTGATATCGTTGTTGCTGATTACGGTAGTGCCAAGGTAGTTAAAATACTTAACTGGTTTAAAAGTACAGTCACCAACCACCAGTTCATTGTTAATATTAGCCGACATTTACTTTGTTTTGCCCTCATTTAGTGCTAAGCCCATTTTTTTCATTAAAGAAATTAACGAAAAAAACTTACTAAGGTAATACTTTGAAATTTCACTTGTAAACAATCTATAATATCGACGTTTCCTGCTCTACCAATTAACTAAAGAAAATATTGTAAAAATCACTCTAAGGAAGAACTATCAAAATCAGTCTTCTCAACTTTACCTTAACTCATTTAAAACACCTTTTTGCAACATTAATATATTTTATAGTTTCACTACGTGACACACCTCAGAAAGCAATCAGCACTGAATTTTTGGTTAAACAATTCCCATTCATTAATTTCGACTTTTCTCTAGGTTAGAGCATACAAAGTTCACGGAGACCTGCTACAAATCAAGCTCGGAATAAATGTGTTTGCAAAATAAATACATTTTTATAAATAACAGTTTTATTTCAGGACACGACGCCTATGCCTACTGACCTTTGATGCCTACAATGCCAACAGCTTCACCTTACACATCTCCACCGTGTCTAGGCCGGGTGCCCTATTTTAAGATATTTATAAGCTTGTGTTGCTGTTGTTGTTGTTATTGTTGTTGCTGTTATTGTTGTTGCTGCGGTGGGAGCACACATAAAAAGCTATAAAACATTGTGCAAAGTTTTTTGATTACTTCAGCTGCAGTTGGAATTCTTAACTAAATTTTGCCAAAGTTACAACCCTGCACGCACATTTACACATACACACACACACATGCATATACAACAAAACACACAAATAAATGTAAACAAACTTTTATGTATGTGTGTGTATTTGTTCATCAATACGAATTCATGTAGAATGGATATACGCAGGAATATTGGCAATGAAACAGTGTATTTAGCCAGTGTTGCCATTGCACACACTTACTTTTTCCTACGTTTTAATGTCGGATTTTATTGTCTGTTGGTTTGTTAGTCTTTATGTCAGTTTGTTGTTATTGTGCCTGTTGTTGTTGTTGTTGTTGTTGTTGTTGTTGTTGGAAACTGTGTATGTTTTACTGATTGGCTGCTTCTATTTCGATTGGTTTCCCTGCTTGAATTTACTCTATGCTTTTGTTTTTTTTTGTTTTTTTCTTCTTTTTGCTTTTACTTTTGTATTTGCCTTTGTTTGACGTTGTGCGTACGTGTGGAAAAAGGATACGATATAAATTTGATTGAGTATGTGTGGTATTGACTGACAGGATAACACTATTTTTGCAAAAGTGTTATTATTGTTGTCGATTTCTCATTAGTTCATTTCGCATTTCACATTTTACTTTACTTTTCGTATTTGTGTTCACCAAAAGTGTTTGTTCGTCTGTGTTGGATTTGGCAATGAATGTGTGCGTATGTGTGTGTGTTCGTATGTGTAGGTGCGTAACAATATGAAATTGATGACTTCTGTTTGCTTCAATGAATTTGTGATACCCATTACACAAAATTTCCATCATTCTATATTACTTAAGTAAAATTCTGTAAATATAATTGAGATAGCTCTAATATAGCTCTACTCTGTAATATCATACATAATTTGTTTTTCTACGAATTGAGGTAAGTGGTTTGTGAAGTGCAAATTAATCCTTTTAATTTAAAAAATTACTAATTTTAATTTTTTCTTGCCGACAGTGGCGTGTCTTTATGAAGAAAGAAACTATTTAAACGGATTGACAGGCACGAGTTCTAAGCCTGGCGCTTGCAGTCCAAACAAATTATATACAGACTATAAACTAATTAAATAAAAATTCGATTATTTCCTAAGACCACTGATGAAGAGTTCTTGGCAATACTCGAAACAGCGTTGTATGTTCAGCCAAAATTCAATAAATTGAATAAATTTTTGTCTTTGTCCTTTCTTTCTTTGCTATTCGAATCCGTCTAACTTAAAAAATTATTATTCAATCTTTTCAACATATTTTACAAATAAATGAAAATTTCAGTGACTGCAACTTGAGTTAAAACTTACTTTTTAATTCAAGAAACTATAACCCATCTCCATTAAACTACACCCAAAGACCTACTTGAATTTAACTTCTTTACTCATTTTTGCGTTCAAGCCCTTTCAGGTCATGATGGGCACAGTGTTCATATTTTTGTTCAAGCTGTTCTCAGAAAATATCTTGGGTATAGTTATCTTTATCTTTCGTCAAGGTACGTTTATCTTAATACAGATTTTTATCAACCTTTCATTGGTTGGTGTGAAGGTTAGAACGTTTCTTAGCCTTCCCGACTTACCGTAAATCCGATTCCAATCTTCATTTCCTGAAGAATAGTAATGTCAATTTTGTATTTCTTAATATTTATTCACTTTAAAGAGTGTAATTAAGTAAAACAGCTCCTTAAAATTGTTTGTTGGGTCCTTTAGTCTAATATTTTTTTCATATATTTTTCTTTTGATTTTTTTTCTATTTTTTAAAATTTTTTTTGTTTTTTTTTTTATAAGTTTATTGGGTGCTTTTGTATGTTACCTTTTTGATATGTTTGCGGTACTGTAACTGTCAGTGTCAGTGTCACTGTCATTTCTGCTATACAATGATAAGAAAATGAAATGAAAATAAAAAAAATTTTATTTGGTTTTGATTCTATTTTATTTGTGCTGCGTTTATATTCGTACCTTTTTAATCCTTTTTTATATCTACCATTTCGATTTTTTTTCTTTTTTTGAGTCAACACCTATAAATGCCGTCAGCATTGAAAACTGATATCGATAGTTTTTTCAAAAATTCTGACGCAAGACATTATGTGAATGATGTACACAAATGACAGCTATTAAAAAGTTAAATAGTTCATTACATTGCTGAAGCGTAAATATGAGGATTCCTATTATTTCAGTTATCGGATGTGCTTTCGGAGAGGTTCAGCAAATACTCATAGCAATAAGTTTTTTGATTACAATCAACAATCAATTTTGGTTTTAGGAGCGTTGTGAAGTTACATATTGAAGTAAATACAACCGACAAGATTGACAGTTTATATTTAACTGAATTTTGTTTACATTTCATTATTTAAGATTGCTTAAACTAATGCAAAACATACTAGATTATAACACTTTCTCCGCCCTTAATTTTTGACAAAGTTCAAGTTTTCCTGAAATCGTCGGATTCAAATCGATTAACAACCTTCCGAATACGACCACTTTTTCGAAGTTGAACTACTTCGGTAGAACGTTCTTCACTAGGCATTAATGTTGATTGGCTAGATGAAGGCGGTGTGGCATTGATGAAATTTGGAGTGAATTCAAAAATTGGTTGTGAAGAGAGGTCAGAGCTACTTCTAGTTTTAAGCTGATTAACATGACGTTTGATGTAACCAAAAGATGTGTTCACTCGGTAAACCATTTTACCAAGTTGTTTCACAATAACTCCTTTTATCCATTTTTCCCCTCTTGCGTAGTTTCGAGCGAAGACGGGTTGCTTTAGACTAAATTTCATTTTCCGTTTCGAAGCTTCAAGGTGCTTCCTAGGCGATTCAAACAGTTGACTCAACAAGGTACGAACAGGCCTTCCATGTAAAAGTTCTGCAGGTGATTTACCCTCAGCATTCGGCATTGCACGATATGTTGCAAGATATTTTGATACAGCGAATTTGAGAGACCATCCATCGTCAATGTTTTTCTTAACAGCAGTTTTAAAAGATCTGACGAATCGTTCGGCTAACCCGTTTGAGGCTGGATGAAACGGCGCTGTTGTTATATGTTTGATGCCAAGTTTTGAGCAAAAATGTTTGAATGCTTCAGCTGTAAATTGCGGACCATTGTCACTTACGATGGTTTCTGGTATACCTTCCAGAGAAAATATAGAAGACAATGCTGATATGGTGTCAACCGTTGTTGTTGTAGATAGTTGTACAACGAACGGAAATTGCGAGAAAGCGTCGACACAAATTAGCCACATTGAATTACAAAATGGACCAGCAAAGTCGATATGTACTCTCTCCCAAGGTCGATCAGCTTCAGGCCAGCTTACGTATTCACGTGCGTGAACAGGATTTGCAATTTTGCATACATCACAATTTTCAGTTAATTGTGCGATGTCTTTGTCAATATTAGTCCACCAGACATGTTGTCGAGCTAGCTGTTTCATTCTCGATACTCCCCAATGACCATCATGAAGAAGTTTAAGAATTTTCTGCTTAAGGGAGGCTGGAATGACAACCCGGTTGTACTCCGTCTGGAGGCAAAGCAAATTGTTGTTTAGTATTAAAGCAAAGCGATGATTGAAAAATGATCGAAGATCAGCATCTTGAGGCATTAGCTTTTCAGGCCAACCGTTTGTAACGAGAAAATAAACTCGGCGAAGAATTGGGTCATTTTTGGCATGCTGACGAATTATTTCAGCGTCGATAGGTGTGTTAAGTTCATTGATGTTGAAACAGGATTCTTCATGATCAAAAGTTTTGTCTTCACCAACAGGTAAACGAGATAAAGCATCGGCATTTCCATGCTCAGTAGTTTTACGATACCGAACATCATACTGATAAGCCATTAGTATAATAGCCCATCGCTGTAAACGATGTGACGTCATCGACGGCAACTGATGAATTGGATTAAAAATGCTAACAAGAGGTTTGTGGTCAGTAACCAATGTGAATCTTCTTCCGTATAAATATTGATGGAAACGCTTGACTCCAAAAACGATAGCTAGCCCTTCCTTCTCTATCTGACTATATCGTCGTTGATGAATGTCGAGAGTTTTAGATGCAAAAGCAATAGGCCTTTCTGTACCGTCAACGTACGTATGCGAGAGCACGACTCCTATGCCATAGGAGGAGGCATCTGTAGCTAGAACCAACGGTAAATCTTCCTGATAATGTGCTAATTGCGCTGCATTGAGAATATGCGTTTTAAGAGCTATAAATGCTTGTTGTTGTGCTGTACCCCATGTGAATTTTACATTTTTTCGGCGCAGCATGTTGATTGGCGCGGATAATTGCGAAAAATTAGGTATAAAATTATGGTAGTAGTTTACCTTACCCATGAATGCTTCTGCTTGCTTTAGATCTTTAGGCGGCTGCAGGTTTTTTACTGCTTTTAGTCCTGACTCATCTGGCAATATACCTTTTGCACTAATTTGACGCCCGAGATATTCGATTTTATCTCGTAGAAAGAAACATTTTTCTTGCTTGCACCTGATACCATTTTGTTGCAAAATACGAAGTACTTGTTCTAGGCGGCTGATGTGTTGTTGAAATGTAGGTGCGGAGATGATGATGTCATCGAGATAATTTCCACAACCTTCTACGCCTTGAAGTAACTGCTCAAGATATCTTTGGAATATAGCTGGAGCGCTTGCAATTCCAAACGGTAAACGTTGGTATTGGAATAACCCAAGTGGAGTGTTGACAACCATTATTGTTTTTGCTTCATCGTCGAGTTCCATTTGTAAATACGCATCCTTAAGGTCGATTTTTGTAAAATGTTGACCGCAATTAATTTTATGGAAAAGACTTTCGCGTATGGGCAAAGGATATTGTTCAATGTCAATTTGCGCATTGACTGCTTGTTTAAAATCCCCACAAATTCTTATGGAACCATCAGCTTTTGGAGCTAGTACAATAGGCGAAGCCCATTGGGAAAACTTCACAGGTTTCCAAATACCCGCATTTGTCAATCGATCGACTTCTTTCTTGAAAAGTGACATTTGCGAAAATGGAATTTGTCGGCTTTTGTAAAATTTCGGATGTGCATTTGGCTTTAAAAAAAATACTGACCTTAAAGTTTTTTATTGTGCCAAGAGCTGGTTCAAAAATATCACCATATTTCTTACACAGCTCGCTAATTCTGTGTGATTCACTTTCAGTAATGTTACAAATTTGTTGAATCTCAAACCCGAATTCTTTAAATAAATCGAAACCGAATAAATTGTTACAGTTTTCGACATCCACGACAACGATTACCACTTCCCTTTCTTTTCCGCCACATTTGATATATACGCAAAGTTCACCAAGCACTGGAATTTCAGTTTTGCCAAAACCAAATAAGGTTTTTGTACAATTTCG